CTTTATTAAATTGGAACTTTAAAGATCGTTAAGCCTTGGACTCTGATTTAATTCTACATGATACTTGGAACGCTGACACCAGGATCACTTGGGGGATGGATTGAAGTATAAGTGGTGCTCTATTTACAACCAATATTTCCAATTGCTAATCAAGACGGTTGTTTAGTGAAACGTTAATGTGAGTTTTGACCATTTTACGATCTTTTTCCCACCGTCGTTAAGTGAATCATGTGTTCATTAAACAAACCCAGCTTCTCCGACTCGCTGTTGGTTGGAAGCCGTCTGGGATGGGTTACCAAGATGCGGCCGTTACAGGTAGTCCTCTAGTTACGACAATGGAGCCCCAAATTCATGTCACTCAGTGAAACGTGTGTTAAGTGGGCTTGTCCCATTTTACAACTATTCTCGCCACGTTTGTTAAGCAAATCACTGCAGTGGTTAAATTAGGAACATGGTCGTTAAGTGAATCTGACTTTCCCACTGACTTTGCTTGCCAGAAGGTTGCAAAACGGGATCAAGTGACAACCACCACCCCCCCCGCCCGGACACTGCAACCGTCATTAAGTGCAAAAAACAGTCACAAGTCACTTCGTAACTTCGATCAGTCCCTAAGTAAACTGTTGCAGGTTGAGGACTCCCTGTATTGTAAATACAGGCCTGTTGCCAAGTGCCTGAAGGTTGATCATGTGACCAGGGGAAGATGCTGGATGCTGGTCGTAAGTGTGAGGACAGATCCTCAGCCACTTTTCTGCAGTGCCGTCGTAACTCTGAAAAGCCATTCCGCGAATGGTTGTAAGTTCAGATTGTAAGTGGAGGCGAATTCGAAAGAGGAAGGCTCACTTACTGAATTCAATCAGCAGCTTGCCATAACCCCGTCTCTGATAAGGAGGTAATGTCAGAATGCACGCCACATTGTAGTCTTCGGTGGATTCCTTTTCCTGCCAGAAAGAACGAGACGAACAGAATGTAAGGATCTGGCCCTTCCTGTCCCAACTTTGCCAAGATTTTTGGCCAAACACAGATCAGCCTGACAAGCCACGTTTCTGACCTAGGCTTCCCCGAAAAGCAGGAGGCAGAGTCCTAGTTCCTTTTATAAAACGAGTGTGAATTCCTCTCCTTCACCTTCAGCCAAGGCCTGGCAAACAGTCTTTCAAAGGTGTATTTATGACCACAGACCTTATCTAGCTTGGAAAGCTGCCATGTCAATATTTCCCAAACTCGGGAAAGACAGGGCACAGTCTCTCTGAGATTCACGGACAGATCTTCACACTCCTGAAACGAATTGAACGAACAAATTGTTTCCTGCAAAAGCCCCCTCCCCTTTTGCTCCTCTTTTATGTCCTATGGGAGGGGTCATTCACCGTCCACCTGTGGAATCTTAACTTGATCTCTCTCCTGGTCCTCTTTTCTTTTTTCTCTTTTTCTTTCCCTTTTTCTTTTTCCTTTCCTTCCTTTTTCTTTCTTTTTCTCTTTCCCTTCCCTTCCATTTCTTTTCATTTCTCTTTCCTTACCTTTTCTCTTTCTTTCCCTTTCTTTTTCCTTTCCTTTTTCCTTTCCTTTTTCCTTTCCCTCTTTCTCTGTCCCTTTTTTCTTTTTCCTCTTTCCCTTTCTCTCTCTCTCTCATAAAAGAGATAGATAGATAGATAGAT